AAGATGTAATATCTTAGTTTGACGCGTTATCACGCATGAAACACGTGTGATAGTGATTGTCATATTAGCTTGACCTGTAGTCAAGAAGGCAATAAAGAAAAAAAATTATTCTGCATTTGTTGTGTGTGCGTGTCTATATGTGAATCTATGTGTCACCAATTCTGCTGTTTAATAAATTCAATCAATTCTGCTATTTAATAAAATTGTCGACTCTGGGCGAATGTACCCCTGAATTTTTATTTTTTTACCACCGGAAATAATTCCCGGAAATCACCTGATGAACCTTGTGAAGGCTGTAAAAATTTACTCTCTCTATACTCGCCGAAAACCTTACTGGGGTAAATAATTACTACTCTCCCTACGTTCACAAACTCAGTTAGCACGAGAGTAAATTTTTACCTCGATAGTAGATGGTAAAAAAAACCAGGAAAGGTAGTGCGCTAGAGGACAAATTGTTTACCCAGTTTTTGAGGTTACTTTAGGTCATTTTTGTTTAGTGTGAGCGTGTCCACGGCCATTTTTCTAGTTCCACGTATAACAAATTGGGTATCATGTGGCGTGTAAAGGCGACCGTAAGGTAATTGACACTTCCGAACATGATAATCATGACATGGAAGTAATGCACGGCATAAATTACGTCCGCCTAATAACGACGTGCTGATTTTAAAGTGGCATATCAACCTTCTTCATTTGTGCTTCGCATATCATCTATTCCCACGGTACGTGTGATCTGCCTTTTTTTCGTAGTAACATCTTTATACTTTGAAAATGTGTTCCAATTACATCACTGTTACATTTACTAACAAAATAAGTATATAATAATGTTAGAATAAAATAATAATATTAATATAATATTGATTCCACCTCCATCGGCTGCATTTCCGATGGAGGCGGAAATGCCGTAGGCCCGTGTGCTCAGATTAGGGAGCATGTTCAACAACCCCAGGTGGTCGAAATTTCCACTACTACGGTGTCTCTCATGATCATATGGGGGTTTTTGGGTTGTTAAATCTCACAAATAATCCAGGCCACGAAGATTTTTGAGTGAAAGAATTTTGCCACGGACACTTTGTCTCAGAAGTGACGCGCGCAGCTACTCCCCTTACGGAAACGCCATACATGGCCCATATACAAGTTATATGTGGCCACATATAAGCATATATGGCAGCATATGTGGCCACATATAAGCATATATGGCAGCATATGTGACCACATATAAGCATATATGTCATAATATGTGGCTTCGATTTACCATATATGGGTGTATATCTGGCGGAGTCAGTTCCTGTATGGGGTTATATACGGCCATATATGACGCGGTTGGCCCATATAACGAGTCAAATACGGCCAAATAAGGCACGGCCGCACCATATATAACATATCAAGTGGATCCTTATATGTGAAAGTGCTCTCTTATTTGGGATGAACCACGTATATATTTAGCACTGTGATCACACTTTTTTGCGGATTGTAATATATAACGATTTGTACACAAAGCTGACCTGCTTATTTTTCATAACAATAGGAGTACTAATTATATATGTTGTTTCTGCCATGCAAAAAAAAACGAGATTTTCGATCAGATTTGTGTACGTGATAGTTGCAACTCAGTTGAATGCATATATGCATGCATTCGTGTAATTTAACTCGTACATTTTTCAAGGCATTTAGGTTTGAAACGATAAGTTGCAATTAATACGACGTAAATAATGTAAACAAGAGCAGACAAGTTTTACGAGGAAGGAATCATGTCAAGTCACAAAACGTATTGAAGCTTCCGAACCTCGCTATTATTACAGAGCAATTCTATATAGTATTATGTAAAGACAAAATGCATGCAACTTATATTGTTCACAATATTGCATTGTTTAAAGTGGCAGCAAGAAATAGTAATTTCAATGCACTTTTAGCTTCTACATCGGTGGGCAAAATTTCTGAATATTTGAAAGTTTTGATGGCTATATGCTCCCTTCATATAACAAGATTTCTATTAATCCTGTTGACCCCTCATCTGCGATCGCTTTCAGCAGCCACTCACTATAATTGCATGCGCAGTGCAGTGTTTAAGGGATTCTTTTCAAAAACAAAAAAGAACTTACGTGAATGCAACTTGCAGGCTCTATTATGATTACATTCAAGATGGAAGTTGTACTAATTTATTGCAAAAATACATCTTGCGTTTCCTTTGACTACGTATGATGTTCCTGGCTGTGCACATAGTAAATTTATCGAAAATTTTATGATTGCACAAGTGAACAATTAATTTAGTGTACTGTTTGCAAGCGTCAAATAAATCTCACGTCATAGACATGTACGTTAAAAAAGGTGCAACTGACTCACACGTGATACATATTTAATGGACCATGTAATGAAATGCTGAAGCTTTATAGCAACATTTAACGTAGGCTGCCGAATTCACAAAACTTCTATTTTGTGTCGGTGTGCCATTACTTGGTCGAGGTCACTAAAGCGCACGTGCCATCATCAGGATTAGCCTAAACATTGCCTTGTGAACACAATTAGTATGACACATTTTTGTGGGCTGGCGTGATACCTAAGCCAAACTCTACATTATGTAAACAGCCCCTTGCTGTGCAGGCGCGTAACGATTCAAACTGCTTGCGAACATATCCTTTCAACACCAACACGGTAGTGCACTTACTTATAAGATATGTATGCCGGTACATACCCACCAAACTGCGCAATTGCACATTCGCGTATAGAGATTCATGGGCACCCAGACACTGGCATTTCATTCAATGTGGCCAGATATTTTCGGCCATGTCAGAATGATATGAGTGTATTATTATTATTATTATTATTATTATTATTATTATTATTATTATTATTGTTGTTGTTGTTGTTGTACCATCTCGCAAAACGCCCAACATTTCAATTCCATATGCTGTCAATACTGTGTCGTTATGTAAGTTTTATGAGATCAGTTTTCTTGGTGTTCTTTTTGATAGCATGCTGAATTTTTTCTACTTGCATTAAAGGTGCTGCCATGCGAGGCCTTCATTTTCTTCCTGTTGGTTCAACATCTCGCGAGAATCCGGTTCTCCTACAGCCTTCTACAAATTGTACACCGCGATATGTCGTGCTCAACTTGAGTACATATGCATATCTGATTTGGAATGGTCTTGCTAAATCCAGCAGTAGCGCCACTAAGTGAGTCCAGAAAAATTTCATAAGCATTTACCCCCATCGTTTCACTAGAATCCTTTCAACACTGCTGGAATATTATATTTGTCATCAGTTAACGGCCGGCAAAACCGCGCTGAGCTGTTATTTCTTTACAAGCTAGTTCAGGGTGAGATATTCTGCCCTTCTCGGTTGTAATAATTTTCAAACTTTGCGTAATAATTTTCAAACTTTTTGTATGCTAACAGACTGCAGGTCCAAATGTACAATAGAGTGTGGCTCCCTCCATAGGATTGCTTCACAGCTGTTTATCATTATATAGGCGGCCTCCTATATGTGACTCTCCGCAAATAAAGTGGCCCATGATCGCTGTTATACTATGCTTGATAAGATTTCACCCCCTTCATCCAGTAGGTCAGTGTAAAGCCGACGGCCTTGCCTGCGTCACAATACTAGCCATGCAAAAAAAAAAAAACACATACTGCCCAAACATACCAAATATGCACCATTTAGAGTAAACAAAGCACTCTGCAACACGCGTCAAACGTATACGTCGGAGGTACGCTTTCTTTAGTTTACCGCGTAACATCTGAACAGTGCCTGTATGGTCGAACACTCGGGCATCCATTTGTTGTGGGCCACCAGTCCCTCCAGTTGGGGTCGGTGTGAGAGAGGGCAAAGGGGCGAAGAAACGGTGATCAAAGTGCGAGTCCGTCGACAGGAGGACATTGAATTAGCCGGGCGCTTATTTTCCTCTGGCCTATGCGTTTACGTTGCCGCCGTTTCCAATGACGCTATCTGGCAAAGGGGTACAGAAGCAGTCCTGGTGCTCCTTACCCGCACCTCTATTTCCTTCTTTCACTCAGTGCTCCCCTCCTCCTCTTTCGAGGCTCACTCAACGCCCGACTCTCCCTTGACTGCAATTCCGTGCCCGCGAAACCACCGTTGAATAAACACGCACGCACATACTAACCCACCACGGAAACAGCACGCGCGCCTTCGCGCCTCTTTTTATCTCCCCTCGCCACCATCAAGTTCGCATGCGTGCACCCGCTAAGCCTTCAAAACGACCAGAAAGGAAGCAAGAGGCAAACGAGGGTCCGCACCACGCAGAACTCCGGTAATCTCCCTCCCTCGTACCAGCGCACGAACTTCAAAAACGAGCTCCGCCTCTGTGCTCCCTGATTGGTCTACGGTCCTATCTGGTGACAGCCCGCCTTTGCCCAGTCCACGCCCCCCGGCGAGCAACGGCCGAACGTGGCAAGTAAGCAGACGGCGAGGCGCGTTCGTGGCCGCGCGCCGGTGTGTTGATCTGCGCGTCGTATTTCCTTTCATCAGGGCCCGACTTCTCTAAACGTGTCATCAACCTCGCTAAACGAAACCATAAGTGTGAAACGTGGACGAACGGCGGCGTGCTCGGAGACCAGTGTCGACGACAGGCAACCGGGGCGTAGCAGTGTTCGGTGGTTTCGTGGTTGTCGTGCTTTCCTATAGTTGTTTCGGCGTCATTGTGTGGTATATGTGCGGGCGAAAGCTCAAAATGGCGCACGTGCGATATCGCCAGCTGTGAAGCGACACCGACAGACCAAGACTGTGATCCAGTAACCGAAAGTTCACTGCTAGCACTACGGAGACGGTAGGCTCGGCTGCAGCATATTGTCTGTCCACCCGGTTTGGCAGTCCTTGTGCTCTCTTGGCGTCCACCGTACTACGTTTGCACCCTTCGATTGATCAAGGTAAAAAGCCACATTTGGGCATCCAGGTCGCGTCGGTCGTTGCTGAAACCTTGCTTCGTTCGCCACGGGTACACCGACAGGAGACAGCGTTGCTTTTTTATGACTCTGTTGTTCGCCAGTGGGTGCACCAAGTTGTGTATGTGTGTGTTAGCTCTAGATTTGTCAAGAAACAAGAAGTATGCCAGTGTCCGCCGCATGTATGTAGCTGATGCCAGAAGTGCTGTGTGTGCGCAGCTAACTGGGCGGAGCCATCGCCACATCGCAGCGTCGGTAGATATTCAACTATATAACTCCGCCCCTGACCTCTCGGCCGTGCTCGCTTCACACGCGGAGCAGCCGCAGAGCCTCGGATTTCGACTACTGGATTGTCAAGTGCCAAACTGAATCACCTGCCCTTACTAATCCGACTGCGATCATCTGTGCGGTGAATCGCCAAGTGGTACGAATGCAAATATATCGTCGGTTAGACAAGACAGGTTTGTGTTTTCTGTACGCGTAGGTGTCCAAGCAGAAAGAGTGCAGCCCTTTTAATGTGAACTCGTTTATTTTACTCTACGTGCCAGGCAGACTGAGCTTATACAATTAACGTTGCAGTATTCCGATCAATCAAGACTCCGCTAAACGGCTGCCACGTCAGGCATCCGGTGTTCGAAACGGGGTTATGGCACGCCGGGCGGCAGACGTCATGCATGCGTCGTCGATGCCGGTGACAATAAGACGCTGATGCCAACCTCGTCATCGCATCTGATGGAAGCAACGCGACTTCTGGACGCTGGCTGCCTAGGACGCCTGGGGCGACCTCTGCCCGGACCGTACGCGCCCTTCGGCACCCCGATGGCTCCGTACAGCATGGCCGCTTATCCTCCCCATCACGTGCCGTACTCCATCGACGGCATACTGCACGGTTCGCACGCGGCGGCGGCGGCCTCCCACCACGGAGGGCCTCTAGGTCTCGTCATGGCCTCTAGTCCGGGACACGCCGCCTTGGTGGGCTCCCGCGCAGCCGTTCTTAGTCACAGGATTGCGGCCGCTCAGCAGCATCACCAAGAACAACAGCATCATCAGGCGGCGTCCAGGGTTTCCTCGCATCGATCGAAAGGTAAGTACACTGTGTTCTGGAATTCTTATGCACCAATGAGTAACTATAGTGACAACGTGAGCTTTGAACGCCGTTTATGTGAACTTATTACATAAAACTACGACTTCAAGAAGGCCGTTTGTGTTCGCTTATAACAAAATATCATGAGCCTATGAACACCGGTCGTGAACGTTTATAATGAGCGATAATGAGTTCATAAATTCCAATAATAGGTTTACGTGCTTAGACTGTAACCTGGACGTTTCGCTTTCGCTTTACAATTTGTGCACTGGAGACTTCTTTTCCACTGTATCTTGCATTTATGAGAAACAAAGAAATTCCCTTCATATTGAGGTGGTTGGCATCATGACGGACCACAATAAGCAAGATATTGTTTATGGCCTTGGTTTAGAAAGAAAACAATGTTGATTTGTTTGATCACTTGGATGTACCTTCGCCAATGCAGTCCTGATTACCGAAGCTATCATGCATGTATAAAAGCCGCGATGTTGCGGCTTTGGTTTGTGTTAGCAATCATTAGGGCGTCGTTTTGGTTTTCACAGCCATGGCGTCGCGTTTTAACGAGGCCCCTGCGAAAAAACCCAAAATGGTTGAAACAAATCCACTGTCCCCGAACACTGCATGTGTCTCTTAATCAGATCGTAGGTTTTGCTTTTGGAAACACTCGAATGTATTGTTTTTGCCTGCAGTGGAGGGAAACAGTCCTTCGACCATGCATGGAAGGCAGCTTTAATCATACAGCGACGGCGTATAGAGGTAGAGCAAAAGCCTCGCGTGTAAGAGGTCTACAGTTCGATTCCCAGTGCCACCGAATTCTCAACAGGAATAAATTTTAAAAAAAAAAGGAGCATCTCCATGATGATGAACTCGCATAAAAGCCTGCGGTTAGGCCTCCCATGGACCACAGGCGGTGTAGTGCACTCCCTCAACAGAGCAGGATTGGCCACTCTGACGCAGTATTTAGCCAATACTTCCCACACGACTTCAGCAATTGACCCTCAGACTTAAGGATGTCTGCCCCAGTTTCCGCTAGAGCTCATGTGACTGACTGAATGATTACTCGAAAAACAATTATCGAAGTTCTTCCACAGAAGCCTTTAAGTGAATGACCTGTGGGAAGCTCGTTTTCCGCCATGGATGTACAAGGCAGTGACTTTTCCTTTTGGCAATGTTTATTACAATAACTTTGTCGTAGTTTCGCTTTAATTAGAGGAGTTTGATTATGGGCACGTACGAGGCGATGGACTAATCACGGCAAGCGTACTTCGTGTCGACTGCCGGACGGAGGAATCTCTTAATGATGAACCCTGTCCGTTACGAACTGGTGCCGTTTTTATACCCGCCCACTTCCTAAATTTTCTCGCCATTTGTACTCGCCCGCATTTCTCATGTCTGCGTTTCCGTTTCATCATTTTCCCCGTCCACTGGTCATCTGTGCTGTATTACACAGTATACGTGACCTGCCCATGGCCACGTTTCTTACCAGTGTTAGCCATCAAATAGCTTGCACTGGCGTCACTGAAACAGCCATGTCAATGCTATAATAATATTTTGGTTTTAACAGCCCAAAACCACTATATATTCATGATAGACACCGTAGTGGAGGGCTCCGAAATTTCGACCACCTGGGGTTCTTTAACGTGCACCTAGTATATGTACACAGGCCTCAAACACAGGCGGGCTAATAACAACAACAATTACAACAACAATTATTATTATTATAATTATAATATTATTATTATTATTATTATTATTATTATTATTATTATTATTATTATTATTATACCGCAATCTCAAATGAAATGATATCTGAACACGAAAGCATGCGAACACACTAAGTGTATAGTAGGTATCTTTTCACTTGCAGGCATTTCACTTGAATGACTCAAATAATTAAACGCGTGAGAAATAAATGCGAAGAAAAATAAACATATCATGTATCGATCTGGCGTAAAACACACCAAAGAAACGTCAGTTCAACCAACCTTGACAATTTTAAGGCACTTGCATGTGGGACTACACACTAAACAAAAATGACCTGAATTAACCTCAAAAACTAGTTAAACCATTCGTCCTCTAGCGCACTACCTTTCCTGGGTTTTTTTTACCACCTACTACCGAGGTAAAAATTTACTCTCGTGCTAACTGAGTTTTTGAACGTAGCGAGAGTAGTAATTATTTACCCCAGTGAGGTTTTCAGCGAGTATAGAGAGAGTAAATTTTTACTACCTTCACAAGGTTTTTGAGGTGATTACTGGGAGTTATTTCTGGTGGTAAAAAAATAAAAATCACGGGTGCAATCGCTTAGAGTCGACAAATTTATTGAATAGCAGAACTGATTGAATTTATTGAACGGCAGAATTGGTGACACATACATTCACATACAGACAAACACGCACACACAACAAATGCAGAATAATACACCACTAGCACAGACTGCACGCGTTGCTCGACTACACTTCGACAATCCGGTATATATATATATACATATATATATATATATATATATATATATATATATAGGCACGACTTTTTGACCGGCAATGTAGTACCGGTAGGAGAGCTCTTTTTTTTGCATCGATTAACAACAACGCTTGAAGGTGCAAGCACCAGCTTTAGGTGGGCTGCAGGGCACTAAATGTCACACCAACCTTTTATTATAAATCTACACGATCTCACCTTTTTGATTATCCAATAATTGCTTGGCACACCGGGCTCTTTGCCCCACGCGTGTTAGCACTGCTGATGCACAAGTCCACAAAATATACCTAAGTACGCACAAACCATGGTAGCTGAATGATTTTCATTCAGCGATGGTGCACAAACACAGTAGCAGCACGTATTCATCACAACGGGCGTAGAAGAGCGGTCCACGCCTGCATACAAGCTGCTTACCGACGGCGTTCTAGGCCTTTTTGAGGAGCACGGCTATCCGATAAAACACAGCTGGCGATCACAGAACACATATCCTGTGCGAATTTCGTCGTCATTTCAGACACAAATGAACACGTCACCGCTATCTTACGGGGACGGGGCGGTGTATGCACACTTCCAACGAAAGACCACCATCCGGGTTTTCTTCGTGCTCACGGGCAGCCTCTTGTTGTTTCCGTCTGCCTCGTATCGGCTTCGCGCTACATGTTTGAGAACAGTTTGTGCATGAGGTGGGCAATTCGGGCAGCACTTTACTCATGCAGACATCGCCTATTGTGGAACAAAATATATGCGATGCTTCTTTCACCTGCCCCGGCGACACACTCCCACTGGTCACTGGTGGCCACGGCTCGGTGACGACGACAGAGTGAAGCATTTTGCTTATTGCTTCTCCAGCAGGCAAGCACGGACGATGACACCAGATTGATTTTGTTACCACTGGCAGATCTTCACGATTCGGCTCGAAAGTGAGATATCCGCGACGTGCAGGTTCGGAGGCGCTCGGAAGAGCACGGTCGCTCGGTGATGTAGAGATCCGTCAGCCCAACCAGACACACAGATACCGAGCTTCTTGCACTGTCTGTCTCCAAGGCCACCGCCGAGCAAAAGCAACATTTTGCGAAAATATGCAGGACAGCTTCCCACAGCAGGTTTTCTTTCTTTTTTTTTTCTCTTTTGAGAGCCCCCCCCCCCCCGTCTTTTTTTTTTTTCGTTCAAAGAATGCTGTTCTCGCTTGTTGTGCTTATGCTGCCCCCAGTTCCAGTAAAAGTGCGCTGACTCGAGGTCAGTCCAGAGACACGGCGATGTAAAAAAAAAAAAAAAACATCTGTGGGCTTCGCGTACCTTCAGTATTCACTGAGAGCGTCACAAGGGGGGTATGGGGCAAAAGCCGCCGAAACAGCTGCACCTTGCAGTCACGTGGTAATAAACTCTGAAACGCAGGTTAAAAATCACGTGATAGAAAACTCCCTAAGTGGTAAAACTGGATTTTGACATCCTTTTACTACTTGCCTGAGAGGTGGTGGTAAAACTATGTCATGTACCATCTTTTACTCCTACGCGAGGTAGTAATTTTAAACCCGAGAGAGTTTTCAGAGGTCATGAGCCGGAAAAACCCCAAACTCGAATAGTTTTTGCTTACAGTGTACGTTTTACACCCGGTAGCTTTGGTAGTGCTGAACCAAAGTGGTGAAACAGAGTAGAAGTCATGCCTTTGCGCACAGCAATGTTAGACAACGCTGACGAATGCCTACTGGAGGACTGTCGATTTTCAGTGGAGCCGAACGTAACAGAAACTGCAAATGTGCGTTGTATTAAAACGTCTCCGTGAAAGTTCTGGGTATAAAATGGCAGTTTTATCAGTTCATCTAAATAATATTTGAGCCAAATATAAGATAATCATGAAAAGCCGAATACTTCGAGTTCGCTTCGCATCCTTTAAACCAAGATACATCACAATAACATAATAAATCGAACGTTCTTGTCGAGTCTTACTAAGCATTGATGGTGCCCCACAAAGGGACACGTTGACGTTAAATAAATACAAGCACCCACGGTAGCAAGTCACGCCTATGTACATCGTACACTGCTGTATGCTTCGAGCTGTACAAGTGGCGCCACTTACGGTGGACAGTGGCGAAAGCTGGATGTGCGCTGCTCATAGAAGCCCTGCGTAAAGTGCACGGTATAGACTCGCTGTGTTCGCATTTATTTTTCATTCTTGCTTAATATTTTCACTACCGTCTGTGCTGCACAAGACAGTCATAAAGCTTGTTACGTCGATCGTTCCATTTCATTATTTTTGAAAATGACAGGTTTGCTTTGTGCACGCGCATGATGTACTCCATTTGTTTCCTGTGTTCATGCATCAAAGTTGTTTACGTGATCACTTGACACAAAGGAAATAAAAACTGTTGTAACATAAAACTGAACACTTGTTTTATTGAACACCCTAACTAGTGCAACAACAATGCAAATCATGGTTGTATGCTTAGGAAACGCACAAAAGACGCGCGTTTTTATCTTCGCCCAGCAGTCATATAGCGCTGCACTATAGAGCTAATTAT